GGTTTGAATATCAGAATCGCTCTCGAGCCAGGTAGATATGGTGTTCAGGATAGAAAGAGCGTCGAATGATGTTCCAGGGGTGATGAGGATGAACGAGGATGGACGGCGGGAGGGGATTGTTATTCGGAGCGACAAAACGTTGGCTTGCTGGGCGGAGTTCCGAGCTCGGAATCTAGTCTGGCGGGAATACGAGCCCGGAAGCTGCATGAACCCTTACAACCAGGGCGAAAAGTGACCACTCAGCGCAGGGATCGCCTAGAAAAAAAAAGCACCGAGCGAGCCGATGGGAGCCACCATCACGTTCAATCTCTTGGCTCTTCCCACCTTTAGCCAGGAACGACCTCCACCTCGGCCGCTCGTCCAGATGTGATAAGGCGAAACTTGCTCCTCTTGGCGTGTACGAGACCGTGTGGTGCCAGACAAGCCGGTGGTGTCGCTCCGAACATGTCGCCGGCCTGCTACCTCATACCGTCAAGTGGCGTTTGCTCCGCGGGGTCTTCCAATTCCCCGCCAAACTCGACCTTCGTGCAAGCCTGTGTCGCCTCTGTCGGGTCAATCTCTATCAAGAGCCTGCGAGGTTATCCCAGAAAGGCCGAACATTCGGAACTCATTGCCAGGGCTAGCCGTAAACGTCCGGTACTCCGAAGCACAACGTTAAAGAGCGGCATGCGAGTGTGCTCGGAGCTTTAAAGTCCGATTAGAGCCAGTGCGACGCAGGCTGGCTAGGTCAACCTCGATTTCATTGTATCGCATCGATCGATGCGCTCCGAAGAGGTCAGGCCGCGATGAGAGCATACGATTGCTCGATGCGTGCATGATCTCACAGTTCGAGGCTCCAACAGGTGGGTCTTTGAGCCTTGCCGTCGGGTAAGGGGCCGGGCGACGTCGCAATCCGATTGCGTGACCAGGGGGCGCACTTAGGGCTTGTGATCTTTCACCTTGTAACCATCGTGACCCTGGAGTTTGAGGAAGGATCTTGCGGGCGCCAAGCAAGGAGGCCGAACGCGAAGCATGGACGGAGTTGCGGCGCAGTGGTCGAAGCGAGTTCGCCTCGCACGCGCTCTAAAACCGATTTATGCATCTTTTCTTTTTCTTGATTTTCATTTATTTATTCCTGACGGGGCGGCAAGACAGGTGGCGCAGCCGGGCTGCGTGTGACAGCTGCGCCGACGCCGCCCCTCATGCGACTCACCCAGGAAATCCATTTTTCGTGGCCCTTGCGTCGACCTAAGTGGGCTTGCAGCGGCATTTGCGTCATGATTTTTCAATTTTCTTCACCTGATGCCAGCCCCAGTTTCCTGCAGCAGACCCACATGGACTCACTGGCGCTCGCTTGGGCTTCGCAACGAGAGTGTCTCGTGTAGGCCGCCTGCCCACGCTGTGATGGAGACCGTGTTTGCTGGTCTCACCGACGGACAACGAACGGTCGATGAGATCGAATGCAGTTCTCCGAGACACTCGCTGCCGCTGCTACGGCCTCAGACTCACGCGCGACGTCTTCCGCACGCACGCTTTTAGGCACAAAAAATGATGCTGCACGCACGAGCCGGTGACATCGACCTCGCCCGGAAATGAGACAACTCTGTTTTAAATAAGGAAATCCAGTATGCCACACGCCTTGGGCTGCTGTGCTTTGCACGCTGCGGCCTGCGGTAGGGTCTCTAGCTGGCGTCCCTCGAAATCGTCCGAATCAGTTGCCGTTGTAACACTCTGCAGACACAAGGTTGTGCTCCCCTCGGTGCCGGTCAGAACGGCTGTGCAGACTCGAATTTGAGGTCTAGGATCTCTCATCAGGATGCCGCCCTGCAGTAGCCTTTTGGCCTCTTGAACGCCCGACAAGTCTTTCGAGCCGCACTGTGCAGACACTTGCAGCACTCTGCGAAGCGAGTGCCTCTTTGCCCGCACTTTCCTGCAACTCCACTTTTGCAGAAGGGCCGTCGTCGGCTTCGTCCCCCATCGGTCCGATCTTCCTGGTGATGTTCAGTAAGGTGTTCAAACTACCACCACCATCCTCGACGAAATAGCGACAAGATGGCGTCCAAGTACTCGCTCTCCGCCGAGCTTCCCGCGACGCGCAAGTCGCTGCGCCGCGGCAACACTCAGAATCAGTACGACCACCAACTCGGAGTTCTGCGCGAACAGGCGTCAACGAACCAGCCTGCAGACGAGAAGATCTCGGTTGCGCCACACGATGCTTGGGCTCAACCAACGCCTCCTGCACCCGCCGCAGCACGAGGCGGCATCAACACCGCAGACGCCACGGTGAGACGTGACCTCTCTCTGCGTCGCGGCGTCAGCAGAGGCAAGGGCAAGGGCGCCGCCGCCGCCGGCGAGGAGACGGCGCTCAAGTCCGAATTCGACTCGTCCGACGTGACCTACGACGACCGAGGCTACCTCGTGCTCAAGGGCGCCGACCGCTACGGTCTCACCAGCTCCGCCTTTTCCACCGACAAGACCAACGACGAGGGCCGCAAGCGCAGCAATCGCTTTGCATATCTCGAGGGTCTGCGCGGCGTGCTGGGCCTCCAGGTGCTCATCTGGACCTTCTTCCGCATCTTTGCACCCGCCATCGTAGCCGATCGCGATGTCGACGGCGTCTACCCCGCCGCGTTCGTCGCAGCTGCACCTGGCTGGCAGACGGTGCTCCGAAAGGCGCTTTCGCCTCTCCTCTTCGACGGCGAGCTGCAGGCGGCCATGTTTGTCATTCTCACCGGCCGTGCCTCGCTGCAGACCTACATCGAGCGCCGTGTTGCCACAGGCTTGGCCGGCCCGGCGTTCAAGCGACCCTTCCGCTTCCTCATCCCCATGGCAGTGACGCTCGCGCTCGTATCGCTCGTGATTGGCGTCAACGGCTTCCGCTACGCCACAGAGATGTCGAGCGCGCTGCAGAACCAGCTCGCCACGCCTCCGGCTCAGTGGGGCTCGACGCTCGAGTACTTCAACTCGCTTCTCTTCTTCTTCTCATCGCCGCTCTACTTCAAGACGGCGCGCGCCACAACATTCATCCCGCCGTCGGGCACTTTGTGGATCATTCCTGTCATCTTCCAGCAGACGTACGTGCTCATCATCCTCGCTTTTGCACTGCCGTACACCATCATGCGCTACAAGAACCTCGGCATGATCCTGCTCATCCTCACCACCGCATGGGTCGGTCGTTGGTCGTGGTACACGCTCACGGGCCTGCTGCTCGCCGAGTGGTCCACGGTCTACCTCCAGCTGCTGCCTGCCAAGGGCATCCCGCTTAACCGTCAGGGAACTCGATTCGTCCCCACTTGGGTACCGGGTGTGGCGTTCGCACTGCTCGGTACCATGTTCAAGTATCTCTGGATCGCAGCGGTGCCTGCCAAGGCGAACAACGACATTATTGCCCACGTAGACGGCAACACGGGCAGGCTCAACTACGGCGTCGACCCGTCGCAGGTGGCGTTCCCGCGGTACGACAACTGGCTCTTGGCCACGGGCGTGCTGTATCTGATCGAGATCTCGCCGCGCGCGCAGAAGGTGCTTGGCAACCGCGTCTTTGTGCACATCGGCAGGTGGGCCTTCTCGATCGCCCTCATCTCGGGCACACTCATGCTTAGTCTCGGCAGCTTCGTTTGGCACCACCTTACCGCCAGCACCGCCCAGGGCGGTCTGGCGTGGACCAGCGAGGCTGGCATCCTCGGTGTGCTTTTCCTCATTCTCATCCCCGCAAGCTGCTTGCTCGCCGAGGTCTACTCGCGCGCTGTCGACGACACGGCGCTCTGGTTCGCCGACTGGATGTTCAAGTGGATCCGCGTCTAGTCTTCGCATATCGTTCTGTTCCTGTTGTCTTTCTGGACTCGCTATTCTTCGCATTCCACTCTCCTTCTCTGTGAAGCTCGCGGCTTGTCGTTGTGACCAAAAGAGTGAGCAATGCTTGAACGATTCACACTTGTGACCGATTGTCGGGCGAGGTGCACTCACGCAGGTTAGTTTGTGCGGCGAATGAGGGCAGAGCGAAGACGCAGGCAGCTTCTCTGGGCATTGTCACCTCCGGTCCAAAAAAAACAGACATCGTTAGCCTTCGTCTCTTCTCCTCTCATCTACGGAGGAAGTTCACGGTTCCTCATCACCGCGAAAGCAGACATGGCGGTGTGCTGTCCCGAGTCAAGGCAAGGCAAGGCAAGGCAAGGCAAGG